ATTATATGAAAAGTGGTAGGTGGATTATATGGTGGTAATTATATTATATGATGGTGGTAACTAGATTATATGAAAGTGGTAGTTGAATTATATGAAAAGTGGTAGGTGAATTATATGGTGGTAATTATATTATATGATGGTGGTAACTAGATTATATAAAGTGGTAGTAATTAGATTATATGGTGGGGCTGAGCCAGAATTGGGGTTTTCATACTACTGATATAACCATTTCAACCAATTCAGAAGAAGATATAAATGAATTCAGGTGAGACTCCGTATTTATCAAAATTAGCCCAGAGGACGTCTTTAAATCCTCCTTTCTTAAATTACCTGGCTGTGTGCCGGTTGATGTATGTACATGCTTTAAAAAGCTTTATTCTCGTTCAGAAGTGGAAAAAGGAAGCTCGCTCAAGTTTTACTTAAAATTATGCGGGCTTGACAGTAAAGCTGACATGTCTTTTAATAGATTATGGAAATTCTATTCAAATGCAATAGAGCAGTTTTGCAAAGAAACTGCCAGGAATATTCATGAAGTAGTGAATTATTACGCATTACGTTATCAGGAACTTGTAGTCAAACGTAATGTAATTAATGATTATAGAGAAGTCGCTTTAATAGCATACGTATTTTTATTTGACGCACATTACCAGGCAAATGGGATGAAAGTGCGAAATCTTTTAGGTGCATACACCACTAAATGCAACATGTTATTCAGCACGATTCCGTGCAAGGAGAAAGAAAAGGGAAAATACCCTGGAGTATACGTTTTCCTCCAAAAAAGGGTATCGAAAATAGATGACCAGTGACAGAACTTGATTTCGCGTCATTGTATCCAAACCTCATTATGCCTACAATTTCTTTCCAGAAAAAATTATACTAAATCAAGAAGAGGCCGATATTGTAGGAAAAAGAAATAGATTACATAAGATTGAATTCTCGTTTAATGGACGCACACTTCGTGCCTGGTCAGTTCAGCATGATAATTGTTCTGAGAAAAAAGAGTTATATCCAACCGTTTTAGAAGACCTGTTTAACAAACGAGCGTGTTTAAAGTGAAGTTTGCTCTATTGCGTAAAAATAAAGAGCGCCTTGAAAAACTATAAGCACCATAGAGGAAAGGAGAAAAATATTTCTGTCACTTTAAAATCGAAATACGATTCCCTGTATTTAGAATACAATTGCTTGAATTCCAAACAATTCACTCTGAAGGTGTATATGAATACCTTTTACGGAAAAGCCGGAAATAGTAATTCACCATTCTTTCTCTGCGAGCTAGCCAGGAGAATCACTACGGCGGGACAGTATAATATTAATCTCGTTGCGAAATATGTAACCAGGAAAGGCTTTGGAATTAAATATGGTGACACCGATTCTTTGTATCTCACTTGTCCGGATAAATATTACGAAAATTGTGATGAAGCATTCGCCAAGGGGAACTATCTTCCAAGGAAACATACTGGACTGAAATGGTCAAAATTACTATGAAGGTAATGGATGATTTTCGCAATAAAGTTAATGCCTTTCTTAAGGCAAATAATGGTACCTCCTACCTAAAAATGGCTTATGAGGAGGTATTGTTCCCTGTGTGTTTTACCGGTAAAAAGAAATACTTTGGAATTGCACACGAGGAGATAGTAAACTTTAAACCAAAAAAGCTGTTTACCAAAGGAATTAATACCGTAAAGCAAGGCCAGTCTCAGCTTTTCAGGTTTGTCGGTGAGAAAATTATGCAGGAAGCTTTGGATATTAATAATGAGTACACGATACATCAAATTGTTGAAAATACTTTCAAAGAGGCAAGACACAAGCAATGGGACTTTAGTTAATTTATTGCGATGGCTACATGGAAATCAAAAGTAAAAAATTAATGCATTCAACATTTTATGTCTTTGATGAAAGAGAAAGGTCTTAAAATTCCAGATCCTGGTGAACGATTCAGTTGTGTGCTTGTAAAGAGTGAACGTCAATGTGACGAAAAAGGATGTCTAATTCCGTGAAAAAATGCTGACTATATGGAGTATTCATAGACCGTCAAAAAATATAACATGAAAATAGATATCAATCACTACTTAGAAAAGACGACAGGATTATGTGTGCGATTCATCAATAATGATGATAAATATCAACCTCCTACATCACATAAAATTATGCAGATCATTGATTCAGATGAAAGGGAAAAGCAGATTAATATACACTTCCAGACAGAGGCCAAAAAATGGCTTATAAAATTCATAAAGGGTTTGTAATAAACATCATGAGTATTCTTAACGGGGTGGATCTGTTAAGCTACTTGTGATATTTATTTTTTCCTTCCTTCAACCTTCGGCCAGTATCCTGTCCATGTGTTATAGTTAATACCACTTCAGGTGAACTTTCAGAGATGCGCAGTCATGGCGGTATCATGATCTTCTGATCTACCTGACCTCCAGAAGTCTTGTGACGAACCTCCTGTCCATCTATCACTTTATTCGAATCAAAAAATGACTGAAATTCTAATAAAAATTGCTTTGATTTCTTTGCCTCTCCATTTAAAGTATTGTTAATATAAGTGAAAGAGGAATCCGCTTCTCGCAATTCAGTTTCCAGCTCATTTATTCTAGTTCTGAGAGAGTCAATTTCATTTTTACTTTTCTTAGCAAAAGAACGAAGCCACTTATTAGCTTCGCATAGTTCTTTAATTTGAGATTTAACATGACTACTTTGTCTTTCTCGCTCCAACTCTCTAGCCTGCAATTTTTCACAGAGATCATTAATTTCAGCCTTCGAGATGAGAGCAGAATGTAATTTTTCTTTAAGCTCCTGCTTATATAGGCGATCCTTTCTTTCATGCGTTGTGTGAACATTAGACATGATTTTTTTTTGGCTTAACTGTTAGTGTGGTAAAAAAATCTAAACTGAAAATAAATCAGATATACCGAACGAACCAAATATATCGAATATACCAAATGTATATCGGTCATATTGAACAAACGATTATTAAATATACCGAATAAACTGAATGCGTATCGGTTATATTGAATATTTATCAGATGTATACCAAATATGTATCGAACGTTTACCTAATATTTTTCGATTTTTTTTCGCACCATAAAATGGTTCGATTTTTGCGCTCAGATGCAACTTGCTTATCAGATAAAGATATTCAGGACATTATTAATGCAAGAAATTCAATGAAGTGGGCTATGGCCAAAAAATACAAAATATCATCATGGCAGGTGTACCAAATTTGGAGAGGAGAACATCCACCATTAGATAAAACTGGATCGCTTGTTACGTTTTAGCAGGCAAATCCTTTAGAATGTAATGTCACTTCTGAGAGTAAGATAAAAAAGAGCAGAGGGACCGGAAGGGGGAACCAAGTCTACTCACACTTCTGAACTATCTGTCAGTTAGACTCAATCAACGCAAGAAATAGATGACGAGGAACTAATTGCGCTTTATGAGAAGGAAGACAAAAGAGACGAAAAAAATAAAATAAATATAACTCAAGACTGCAGTTGCATCATCCTAATTGTTTACTATGGTGTGCCTGCAACCTTTCGCATAAATCATTGAGCTCTGCTTTAGATTTAAGAGCAGCATATAATTTCTCTTTAAGCTCTTCGTATTTCATGTTTTTTTTTAGTATGTCGTCCATGTCCTGCAAAACGCAGTCCAGGATTGTAGATTTGTCAACCTGCCCCTGAAGAAGTGCTGGAGACGTAACACTCACGCAATTCATTTCGATCTTATTTTTGATCTTATGCATAATGACGGGGATAATCAAATCCTTACCATTATGAAAGATTTTTAACTCATTCTTATTCCAATCGATTGCGTATCTATATTTCTTAAAGAGAGGGTTGGAGAATATTAGCATGGGCTTAAGATACTTCACAACCACGAAATTTTCGTAAATAGTGTGACTGGGAGCCAGAATTACTGGTAAGTTATGAATGACTCCGATAGACTCAGTTGGCGCAGTAGCGATACCACTGAGGTCGTGTTTTATGGATTTATTGATATCTGCCTTAACGCGCTTAACAATATTTTCTGTTATAATAGGAATTTTAGCTGCAGAATCGAGAGCTATGGCCAGGATTTTTAGATGCTTAATTTTACACTTCACACTCGCAATACTCGTTTTAGGCTCTTTCTTCTGGACAAAATCGATTTCCATAGAATTGTCTAAATAATCATCCTCCTCTGACTCAGATGGGTCAGATTCTGGGTTCATCGAGACAGGAACAGGATTGGTAGAAGAAATAGACTTGTTTTGAGATGAATCCCGCCGACCCTGCCAGTTCTGCTGATCCTGCTTTTTAGTATCTAGTGGAAAAGTCCTGACAGGGCACGCTTGTGTCATATATATAGGAAGGGAGCTGAGAATCTTCTTAATCTCCTCTTGCAAAGCCACGCCAAGCTCACTTTGGATTATTTTGCGAATAGTATCTACGAAGATGAAAGACTGCTTATTTTGTCTATTTTTTCATGTTCGTGTGGAGGACTCTTTCTGCTCATTGCACTTCACTTTTTTTTTACCTTAGTAATATTCGCACTAATCTCACCTTCTGAAGCGGATGAACTCTCAGTTTCTGACTCGCCAGAAGAACTACTGCTGCCATCAGAGTTTGTATCAGAGTCATCTACAACAAGATTAACCTTACACCTTTTAGATGTTCTTCTACGCTTCTTTTTCTTTTTAGGACAATTACGAGAATTGGGACTACTCTTATCACAATTAGAGCATCGGTATTGAGCCTTCGCGAGTTTTTTAACAGCATTAATAATCTTAGCTTGATTAATGTGAAATTCTTCTAGCTGATGACGTATGCCTTCAATAGCATCATCTTCTTCTATCTGTCGACGTATTTCTTCAACAGAATCATAATCATAACCATAATTATCATTATTATCTTCGAGATTCATTTTTTTACTTAGTCTTGTAGAAAATGATCAACATCTGCTTTTTTTCTTGTAGGACTGGGTTTTTTAGCTAAAGTTCTCCGACTACTTTTCATAGCATCAACTAACATTTTAATAGCATCTTATAAATCAGTCTGCGTGGGTTGAGATGTCTGAAGTTGGAGTCCTCGCTGTAATGCTTGAATTCTACTATTTACAATTCTATCAACATCTTCTGTAATAATACCCTGACTAGCCGGACTAGAAGATTCTTTTGGTTTTATCTTAGTAGCTGGCTGGTTATAAATATCTTCACCTAAAAGCATGTCATTCTTTTTCACTTCAATCTGTTCTAAAGTTTCAATCAATTCGTCATTTAAAGGTCTGTTTAAACCTAATCGCTTCATTTCTAACTTGTTTTCCGGAGACAAGTCACGTAAAAATTGTATTTTTTTTTCATGATCGGATATCCCACTCCATCTTGTATATTTATCAATCTTTCTATAATAATCTCTAACTGAATCATATCTTTGTGTAAGAGTACCAAAGACCATTTGTTGTTGCTCTCGAACAACTGTGGGATAATTCCTTTTAAACCAATAAATGACCTGACTAATGTTGATATCAGGAAAAACTATATGATTATTATTACCGTATACTTCTGATATTAAGCACCCCAAAAATAAGCACTCCTGGCCAGAATTATGAAAATTTTGGCTTACATTATGCTGTTGCTAGCCAGCATTACGGTCAAAAAAGGGTGCTTAATTTCAGAAGTATACGGTATTTAAAACTCATTAGTTGCTGTAGCAGCATCCACAGGACATCCTCCAGCGTAAGACCAGTCCTCATCTGCGTGAACATTATGTGCTGAAATAACTGTAGCACTAGTAGCGTCAGCTGGTAATGCTGGTGGTATAGTACCATATGGTGCATTAATTATGGTTGCTGTTATTTGAGCATTATTTAAGCCCACTACAGCAGCTATATTTGCTAATGCATTCCCACATCTTACATGATTCAATCGCCATTTTTTACCTATAAGTCTATCTTCAACCCAGCGTGATGCTTCGCCTGTTAGGCATAACCAAAATAGTTTTAAAGCTCTTTGTTTGCTAGCGGGATTACCAGTATTGATATTGGCAGCTGTAAGATAAAGTCTGAAATCTTTTACAAATTCATTTATATCTTCATCTGATCTACCTGAAAATCTCTTGGACGCATACCCCGCTATTCCTATATGTAGAGGATTGTTTTGAAGTGTAAATATTTGTTGCTGCAAATTAAAAATATTCTGATTCAGGTTCTGATTCCGATTCTGCGATTGCTGATATCGACCTTTCCAGTTCTGAGCTTGTTAAGCACAGCTGGCATGTCTTCTTTTCCAACACTCTGTATCTGTATTATAGCATACAGTCATTCTGTGGGCATTTCTTCTATATTCAGCGACTTGTGCATCTTTACGTTGAATCAATAGTCGAAAAGCAAATTTCTCTTGTAATAATATCGCAATCTGTGCTTGTCTCTGTTGAGCTATTCGTTGACTATCCCTGTGTGCATCCCTCTCATTATTATAAGCCAAAATAGCCATATCTCGCTCTCCTTGAACATTTCTTAATTCTAGAATACGTGCATCCTGTTCTGTTTCTGCATTATGCTGATTTCGTTGTTCTTGAATTAAATTCTGTTGCAAATTATTATCTCTTCGACGAAGTTGTCTTGTGGATCTTTTTATTTGGTCTATCAAAATAGTCCTATGAGTTGTTTCATTTTCCAGATAACCATCGATGGCATTGGCCAATTCTGTGATTGTAGCCATATCTAAATCAGTATCTGAATTATATTGATTTGGAGAGTTTCCGCATACTGGTGAATTTTCCTCTGATGAGATATCTTTGTTTCTAGTTCATTTTGGATAGACTGACACTCTATCTTCATCTGCTCGATCTCATCCTCACGTGAGACAAGATTTTTTTCGAGGTAGAAGATATGTCGCTCACATGCCTCTATCTCCTTTGTAAGTTTACAGATTTTCTCCTTATTGGAAATATTATTTGTTTCCTCTAAAATTAGCTCTTTACGTAAAGTAAAGTTGCTATTTAGCAAATTAAGATATGCTGATTCAATACCTAAAGATGTTAGCCTTAATTATTTTTTAAAAAATTTTGAATTACGGCTATAGGATTTTTATAGCCTTAATTAATTACGGCATATAAAAATTTTGTATTACGGCATTTTTTTGAATTACGGCTAACATCTTTATCAATACCCATCAATTCCTATTATTAAAATAGATCCCGGTGAAGTGGAAAAAATCGAAAGAAACTATACATTGCAGAAAATTTATTACTGCCCAATTGGTTATCATTCCAGTCCTAAATCGTTAAAAGATATATGTGAGAGAGAAGGTCATCGGCTTTGTTTAAGTGAATGCCGAAACTTTTTAGAACATCAGCAGTCATACTAATTATTACTAAATCTATAAGCCACCTCCAAAATACATTCCTAGAGTTAGTTATGGACGAATCACATAACCGAACTGCATGCATCAGGCTGATGTACTTTTTCTAACACATAATGAATACAAGGGGAAGAGATATAAAGCAATGCTAACCTGCATTAATGTAGTATCCCGATATAAAAGTGCAATTTCTCTGACTTCAAAGAATAGTAACGAAGTCGTTAAAGCATTCAAAAGCATATATAATAATCAGGATATACTATTGGATTGGCTGAAACTTTTACAATGTGATGGAGGCTGTGAATTTATAGGTGAAACGTTCTGATTGATGCAAGATCATAATATTACAATATGGGTAATAGGAGTGTACTTTTATCGAGGACTTGCAATTGTAGAGCGATTTAACCAGACCCTCTCAAAAAATCTATACAAGATCCAGTATGCAGTTGAGTCAGTATCTTCCAACCTTAAATTAATACGTGCATGGGTTAGACATTTACGAGTAGCGGTTGAATATCTAAATAACTATCCCACGTGTCTTATCTGAGAACTAGGATCTGAAAAATGGGGACTTGTGCCTGTGAAAGCCATTCTGCTAGAACAAGTAGAATCAAGACCATCTTTAAAATACAAATGTCCCGTTAGGAAGGATGAAGAGATTTCTTCCCTTTTATAGCTTATTCAAGTTGTCTTCCGCAGTTGAAAAACATTTTTTGTCCTGCGATCCTGCGGTCTTGCGGTATTTCTTCAAAAAAAAGACTAAGACAGTTGTACTGTGAATATATACAGAATTAATGTGGTGTACGTAAGCCCATCACACAGAACTACTGATTTTGGAAAGGAATACCTGATGTAATCAACACCGAACTGGCTGAATCAGGAATTGAATAGTCTATACTGTGGGCTCCAGTGGTGGATCTTTAAGCACAGCATTAGGATATCCCCTACAAATCTTGAGCTTTCATATGACTGGCCTATGCTACCACCTCAAGATCCCCTGTATATCTAAACATACAACCTATACTATAAGAGGTGCTAGAGCTGGTTCCTGAACCTTTCTTATAATAATCTACTATATTTTCTTTATGATTCGTTCTGCATGATGGACAAAGTGAAGATTTTGTCTTGCAATGATATATGTCTGTAAATTTGTTACTTCGTCTTAAAGATATACTAGGATAAAGCTTTAAGACTTTATTGCGGAAATATGTCTGGTCACACAGGTCGAAAAGTGTCAAATCAGTCACCAATCAGTCACCAATCGGGTGCCTGATTGATGCCTGATTGATGCCTGATTTTACCAATCTAATACCAATCGGGCTGCCCGATTGATACCTGATTTCCGCCAAAATCCGACACCAATCAGTCACCTATCAGGCTGCCTGATTGTTGACAGATAGGTGACAGATTTATGACAGATTGGTAACCGATTGGTAACAGATTGGTGACAGATTGGTGACCGATTGGTGACCGATTGGTGACGAATGATAGTTAATTTTATGGTCAATCGATGGTCAATTTATAGTCAATCAATGGTAAATTAATGGTCAATTAATGGTTAATTTATGGTTAATTTATGGTCAATTTATGGTCAATTT